ATAGAAAGTTACTGTCTTTGCCAATGTAGTTCTAGAGATCATAACCTTTTTGCTGGTGGACAGTAGTTCAAAATTTGCTCACTACATAGCGCTAGTATACATGTGAAGTTCTCGCATGTGATATATCTCGAAATCCTGACCAGATAGAAAGTTACTGTCTTCGAAAAAGTTGTTCAGGAGTTCAAAGCCTATAGTTCAGAATTTTTTCACTATATGGTGCTAGTATATACGTGAAATTCTCATATAAAATATCTCGAAATCCTGATCATATAAAAAGTTACTGTCTTCGGCAAAGTTGTTCAGGAATTCAAGGCCTTTTTGCTGGTGGACTTAAGTTCAGATTTTTCTCACTTTGCAACGCTAGTATACATGAGGAATTCTCGCATATAAAATATCTCTAGATCCTGACCAGACAGAAAGTTACTGTCTTCGGCAAAGTTGTTCAGGATGTTAGGATCTTTTCGTTGGTGTATAGTAATTCAGAATTTTTCCTTTACGTGGCACTAGTATGCGGGTCATTCAGAGATATTTTATATGCAAGGATTTCACGTGTCTTTCAACGTCACCTAGTGAGAAAATTATGTACTTTCCACCAACGATAGGGTTTGATCTCCTGGACAACTTTGCCGATTACAGTACATTTTTAGCAGGTCTTGAGATATATCATATGCGAGAATTGCACGTAAATATATACTAGTACCATGAAGTGAAATATTCTGAACTACCGTCCACTAGCCAAAAGGCCTTGATCCCCTGAACAACTTTGCCCAAGACAGTAACATTCTATCTTGTCATGCTCTCTAGTTTTTTTTATATGAGAGAATTTAACGTGTATACTAGAACTACATAGTGAGAAAATTCTGAACTATTCTACACCAAGCAATGATTTGACCTCCTGAACAACTTTTTCAAAGACAGTAACTTTCTATTTGGTCAGGATCTCGAGATATATCATATGCGAGAAGTGTATATGTATACAAACGCAACGTGGTGAGAAAATTCTGAACTACTGTCTACCAGTCGAAAAGTCTTGACCCCCTGAACAAGTTTGCCCAATACAGTAACTTTCTAGCTGGTCAAGAACTCGAGCTATTGTATATGCGAGAATTACACGTATATACTAGCGCCTCGTAGTGTGAAATTTCTGAACTACTCCACCAACGAAAAGAGCTTGACTTCCTGAACAACTTTGCTGAAGGCATTTACTTTCTATCTGGTCAGGATCTAGAGATATTTTATACACGAGAATTTCACATGTATACTAGCACCACGAAGTGAAATAATTCTGAACTATTGTACAACTTGACTTCCTGAACAACTTTGCCGAAGACAGTAACTTTCTATCTGGTCAGGATCTCGAGATATTCCATGTTGTAACCAATTAAGTCAATCCCACGTAGTATGGACACCGTCCACGCGGTTTCCATTTACATTTTCTCTATTATCCGCATTTTGGGGGTTAATTGTAATCAAAGTTTAGCTTTTTTAGTTCAAAACAAGTTTTTTGAGGAATACAAGTTGGTTTCAGATCGATTGGCAGCAACAAAATGACAATGGAAAACTCATATGTGTTGTACAAAGTACAACATCGCGAGTAACGGGGGGTTAACTTTTATGCATACCGTAAAACGGGGTGTAATTGATCAGCGGGGCAAAATTGATCGCTGAAATTTCTCGTGATATTTTTTCATGTGTAACATGTTTTTCGTTACTAAGCGTACGAATGTATCTTTGTATACATTGTAAAAATATTATGCATAAGTACAATATCTGGTATACTCAGCGATCAAATTCACCCCGCTGATCAATTTGACCCCGTTTTACGGCACCTTATTTGAAAATTTTCCCACCAAGACGGACCTAACAAATGCGAGATAGGAAGAAGTGACCGTCGTGATTAATTTTAGGCTCATAGGTTGAAAGAACTTCAGCATGTCCAAAATATATTCGTTCCCATTCAGTGTGTCCAAAATATATTATGGACGCTGTCCAAAATCAAGTGGAAGGGTCCAAAATATGTGAATATCATGATGTGAAAAAAATTATTTTTCGAGTATATATCAATAAATAAAACATCTAGTGACATTTTACATCCAAGATGAGTAGTTTTCGAGCACAACCGCATGTAAATTGCATAATCATAATAAACAAATAATATTATTTTGACATAAATGTGATCTCACTTCCTCTAGGGGTCCAAAATCAGTTGGTTACCCTAAATGGGCATAATGAAAAGTGAAAGCATTTGATTATATTGCGGTAATGCATTTTTCGGTTTTGAAACGAGATTACTCAAAATTTCCATAGCGGTTTTTTTCTAATTTCCGTCCTATTAAGAACAACCCACGATTTACCACTCTTTTTTGAACGTATTTGAACTAAAAATTGAATGCTTCTACTAATCATTATTTCTAAATTTATTTATGGTGGATTTGATTAAGAGTCAAACATTGTTGAGATTTTGTTAAATTCTAACTATGCTTGTTGATTCAAAATTCGTCCTACGAGTTTCAATTCCGTCCAAACGCATTGAAATCTCCCAATGGATTTTCTTCGTCATACGGAGGAAAGACAGGAAAAAAAATATTCGCTAGGAGTGCTTCTTTTGTTTTTAAAAACAGTTGGTGTAAATATTCATACATTGCACTCTTATAAGCTGAACTGTAGAAGCTAAACAAAGGTATTATTGATTTGCGTACAGTAAAACGGGGTAACATTGATAGTTTTTTCTAAGGCAATGAATGTTTTTCAAATTTTATATTTTTAAAACAAGTGCTGAGGATCCAAGAGTCAATTCGTTAGTAATATGTTTAACGTAAATTAAAGCATTTGGACTATTTTTTTAGTTTTGTGACCGAACTTCAGTTTTTTTTATTTGGTCGATGAATGTAGAAAAAAAATGGGTGAAACTCAAACAATTTAGTTCTTTAAATATGAAACTTTGAATGAGAATATCATAAGCAATAAGAATACCACATTGAATTAGTGATGGCTATATAGGAAATACATTTCATGAGTGATGGTTTGAGTGCTTTTTCAAACAGGCGAAAACACGAAAATTGTTTTTTAATCTGTTTGTAAAATATGTAACACATACTATATAAAAACTGTATACGATATCAACGGAAATACCCTAAGCTACAATATCGAACCAATGTTTCTAGTTTGGAAAAAGCGCAGCAACTAAATTTAATCTTTACATTATACTATCAAAGTTACCCGCATTATCAATACCCCGTTTTACGGTACGTTGAAATCATTGATATTATTGATGTGTTCTACTCGATAGAACGGAAGTATGCGATTACGACAAAGTACACTCTTACCATATGTCCAGCGATAACTAATAATGTAAAATTTTCATCTCATTTTAAATTTTCCAAGTTGGAAATACATTTATGCTACGCCAATATATTAAACTAGCTGACCCGACGAACTTCGTCCCACCCAAAATTACTTTGTTTTTAACAATTTTGAGCATTCACGATTCCAACCCTTTTTTTTTGTTGAAATTTTGTGATTGTTTTTGATAACGTAACTCTAATTGCAATTATTAATTAAATGAAAAACTTTCCGAATCCGATTGATCCTTTCTTGAGTTATGCGCGGTCTTATGCTCTAATGTTGACCTATGGATCTAAGATTGGGCCCATCGCTAAAAATCTGCTATTTATCAATTGTATGTAGATGAACGCGTAATTGGGACGGTACTAATAGATATTTTTGGCCGCTATTGAAAATTTAGTCGATTGCTGAATTTATGTATGGGCCCAAATTAGGGGCATTTAGTCCGATATTACATCCATTTCCTCAAGATTTACTAAAGCAGGGATATCCTATTAAAATTTATTTTAATTTTTTTTTATTGAAAATTATCTTACTCTATTTCCAATTTTTTCCACAAATTTCCATTCTACACTTATATTATCAAGAAGTTCAATGTATATCGTGCTTCTATTGCATTCGATTCAATAAGCATTATGCGATAACAAATTAGTAATTGATATAACAAGCAATCGATCTAATTGGTATGCAATTAAAAATCATTGGAGGCCAATACCCGACCGAAACCAACGAAAAAACGACACAGGAGAAAGAAAAAAAAAGTACAACATGCCGAGATGCAATGCGCAATACCCACCGCGAAGGGGCACATCGTGATACTGTTTTATGAGCGATGGCTACAAATTATGGGGCACAGACCGAGGAGAAGAGCAAAAACCAAAAAAAAAAATGCACGAGATTACTGTTTTGAAAGCATCAGGAAAAATTGATTAGATAATTTTCTCCAAGAGAGTCATTCATACCCGCGTGAGTGCGCTCATTCACATCGCACGTTTATGGCACCCCGGTCTACACTTAGCCCACCTCACATCAATTTTTGAATCCATTGTCTGACCGGGCCAGGCCAGCCTAGGCCAGAAGACAGTCCGGCAAACAGTCCAAAATGTACGTATACAAAAATCTGCTTAAATCCGAATTAATTGCCATCGCTTGTAATGAATAAACAAGAGTGAAATTTTTCGTGTTTTCCCGTCCTCGTCAGCGCCTTTGCTGGCCAGATATAATCTCCCTCCCCATTTCGTTTTCCCAAACCTAATAGAGAGCATCATTTTCGCTCCACTTGTTCGGGGTGTTTGTTTGGAACTGTTTTCAAATGGCACGATGATGAGCTGTCCATAAAAAAAATATTGTATTTGAACAATGAAAGCTTAAAAAATTGCATGCTTATATGTTTGCTGTTTATCTATACAGTTTAAAATAGTTTAGTCAAAATGCGGAACAAAAATATCAGAAGAAACAAAAATATGATAACTTTCCGAAAAGAAAAAGTTGTCAAGTATGTCATGGCATCAATTAGTGCCATTCATGCACTGTTCCTGTTTCTCCGATTTAAAAAAAGCACTTCCACGCCGCATTGTTTACATTCATTGGGAAATGGGTTTTCTCGCATTTCGGGAGATTATTTTTTACGACCGAATAGCCGGGCTCTTACTAACCTGATTCAACGCGGATGAAATGTCCGGATTGTGACACTTGGATGGTGATGACGTTGAGTGGCAACTTTCGTCGTTTCGATTCGAGTACGAGGTGAATTTACCGAGCAGCTTTTGCCCCAGCAGATCCAGATCTTCAATGGGCAGTTTCAAGATCTTGCGTTTCATTTCGTTGTGATTCTCGCTGCTATGCTTTGCACTGTTAACATCCTCCGGGAAGTCCGAATGCTGGAGATCTTCCTGCAGATCGTCAATCCGGTCGAGGATGTCACTTGCTTGCCACAGGAAATCTTCAAACGCCACCCGCAGATCGATCCACATGTTGTGATCATAGTGCAGGAAACCTTCAAAGTCCGAAGTTAGCTGTGAAGGTTCCACCACTTTGCTCAGCGATTGGATCGAAATGGTTGTGGTCTCGAACTTGTACTTGCTGCTGGCAATCGATGAGCGTTGTTTCTGCCAGAAGTTGTCCGGCTTGATGATCACCGCTTGATGAATGATGTCAGAGCCGAAATTCTCTTGCAGCACTTTCAGAATCATCTTTGCACTTGCCGCGGTGTTGCTGTTCCCACGCATATCGATGATGATGGTGAATCCATGGGCTTTGCTTTCATCACTGCAAAGGAAAGGAAATGGAAACCAATATTAAAGAATGGTGCTTGGAAAGCTATTGTTATGTCTGTGCGATTTAACTTGCCCAATATTCTATTTGCAAATACTTATATCATTTCGAATGACAAGTTTTAACCTAAAGGGTGTCCACGATGAAATTGCCACACACAAAATTGATTCGCAAAATTCGAGTTTTCATCCGATTGCCATCAAATTTTCAGAGATTGAGAAATAACTATTAAACTTCATTTTACCATTTTACTCGTATTTTATTTACAGTCCATACGCAAATGCCCGCACCTTGGCCTTAACCCCGGCCATAAAATTCTGCACAACCTGTGAATCAACCGTTTTTTGCATGTAAACCCATACTTTCTTCAGTTCCTCGACTGTCTTCACTACCTTAGGTCGTTTAAGAAGGTGCTGCTTCATAATCGCCCAGTACTTCTCGATGGGGCGGAGCTCCGGAGTGTTGGGAGGGTTGAACATTTTCGGCACGAAATTGACCTTATTGTCCGCATACCACTTCAGTACGTCCTTGGAGTAGTGGCATGAGGCCAAATCCGGCCAGAAGATTGTTGGGACGTTGTGGGCCTTCAGGAGAGGAAGCAGCCGCTTCTGGAGGCACTCTTTTATGTACACCTGTCCGTTCATCGTGTCCTGGGTCACGAAAGGTGCACTCCGCTTCCCGCACGTGCAGATGGCTTGCCAAACCAGGAATTTCTTCGCAAATTTGGACATCTTCTGAGTGCGGACATGCTCCGGAACGCTGAACTTATCGTTGGCCGTGAAAAACAGGTTGCCGGGGATCTGTTTGAAGTCACATATTCACATATGTTTCGTCGTCCATGATGCAGCATTCAACTTTCGTCATTTTTGTTTTGATTAGCCTCCCAAAATTTAAACTCATTTGGTAAGAAACTGACTTGGCACAAACTATTCGAAGTTTATATGGAAATTACTATGGGAAAAAATTAAAATTAAATTGTTATTAATTGTTTAAGAGATTTATAATCTTATGGCATCATCAAGCAGCTGTTCTGACGGCAACACTGTATTCTGCAGTGTGACACGTGTGACATAGTAGCCATGATATTTGTGCTCTATTCTTCGCACCAGAAACACCAATGTTGCCTGCTGAACAGTTGAATGAGCATAATCATAAGACATCAGTGACTTGTATCATTAATAACTTTTGTTCCGTGCATTTGATTGAAAAGTGGTTTTGAACATGTTGTAGCTGAGCTTGAAATTTGCTCAATCACTGCTATCATTTTTAAAAGCATAGTGATGTGGTGAATTGTTAGATAGATATGAACAAAAACATAAGTTTTCCCATAGTAATAACTTGAAATGGTTTGTGCCATGTCGCGACTGAAAGTTCAAATCCGCGACAAATCCGCGAAATTCGCGAAATCCGCGCCTGTTGTAACAGCCCTGAGAATCTTGTTGAGAGGAGCGTGGATTTTCCATTCGCGGCCGGTAGCTTAGATGAATCTACAGTTGTTCTTAACAACGCTTTGAAAACGTGTACCAATCAACTAGTTGAGCAAAAGTTTGTTTCTTTGAAAAACTCGAACAGCTGGTACAATTTGGATCTTTTGCGTCTTAAACGGAAAAGGGACAAATGGTACAAAAAGTTTTGTAGATCAAATAATGACAATCATTGGAATAGGTACACAATCGCGCGTAATAAGTATTCACAATCGATAAAGAAAACTCGTTGTGAATATGTTCAAAGAAAGATTAATCAGCATCAAAACAACAGCAAAGAGTTATGGAAAATTTTGAAATTTTTTATTAAAACCTAGTAATTGCAAACCGCGGTTCATTACTTTTAATGGCACATTAGAACAGTCAGAACAAGAAATTGCAGCTAAGTTTAATGATTATTTTGTAGATAGTGTTTCATTGATTAATCAATCCATTGAATTGGTCGATGAACCTGACGAAATAAAACAGCCAGTTAATTTTTCAGTTTTTCACCCAATTCCATTAGATGAACTTGGAGTTATTTGTTTTTCATCAGGAAAATCGACTGGAGTAGATAATGTTAATGCTAGAGTTATTCAAGATTGCTTTAATATCATTGGCCACATCTTGCTGGACCTTATTAATGAATCATTACAAACTGGACATGTGCCACAAATTTGGAAGGAATCCTTAGTGGTTCCTATTCAAAAACTTGCTGGAACGATTAAAACCGAAGAGTTTCGTCCCATCAACACGTTGCACACATTAGAGAAAATTTTAGAACTTGTTGTTAAAGGCCAGCTGTTTGAGTATTTAAATAGTAATAGTTTGCTGATACCAGAACAATCGGGATATCGGGAAGGTCATTTTTGTGAAAACGCGTTGAATTAGGTATTAGCGAAGTGGAAAAATAACTAGGAATGTAAAGATACGATTGTTGCTGTGTTTTTGGATCTAAAACGCGCTTTTGAAACAATTTCTAGGCCCTTATTGTTAAGATCAATCAAGCGCTTTGGAATTACGAGTACTGCATATAAATGGTTTGAAAGCTATTTGTTTGACATAACTCAACGGACTGTTTTTAATGATTCTGTTTCCAGTCCCGTGGGGAATAACCTTGGAGTGCCCCAATGAGGTGTATTAGGGCCCCTGTTATTTATTATGTATATTAATGACTTGCGACGTGTTTTACGATTATGCGACATTAATATTTTTGCAGATGATACTGTGTTATTCATTGCAGCTAAGGATTTAGATGATGCCGTTTTACAGTTGAATGAAGATTTGTGTTCTCTAAGTAGATGGTTGAAGTAATGGCAGTTGAAATTGAATACAAGTAAAACTAAATATGTATGGTAATTTCGCGGAATCGAGTAAATGAGAACGTCTCTGTTGTAATTGATGATGAGACTATTGATCGCGTTCGCGAGATTAAATATTTTGGCGTGATTATTGATGACAAACTTAAGTTCAACTCTCACATTGACAATGTCATCAAGAAAATTGCTAAGAAGTTTGGAATTCTATGTCGACTGAAAAACGATTTACCTATTGCCAGTAAAATACAGCTATACAGATCAATCATCTCTCCTCATCTAGACTTTTGTCCTTCCATTTTATTTTTGGCCAATGCAACACAAATATTGATATTGCAGCGCTTGCAGGATAAAATAATGCGTTTGATTTTGAGATGTAATAGATTCACTTCCTCAATTTTGATAGTAGACGCCTTACAATGGATGTCGGTGAAGCAAAGAATTGTATATTTGACTATGATGATGTTCATTTTTAAAGTAGTTAACAGTTTGCTGCCTCGATATTTGTGTGATCGAATTGAAAGAGGAAGTGACTTTCATAGATATAATACTAGAAACGCGGTTGAAATAAGAACAGCACATTTCTTGACTTGTGCTTCAAAAAAATCATTATATTATAAACGAAAAAATGTTTTCAATTCGATGCCTAGACATATCAAACGTTCAGCATCACTTACATAATTTAAAAGACACTGCATTTCACACGTTAAAACTGTCGTTTGAACAGTTATCCAGTGATTATTTTTTTATGAATTGATAAATTATGTATCTTGACGAAGTTATCTCTAAGGGATTATTTTGTATGGATAGCTGTCATAATGGCGTTTTAATAATTATTGTAGCACTGCAAAAACTATTTCTGTTCACCACGATGATGTAGATGGATTTTTGATATTTGATTTACTAGTAGTAGATTAATTAAAAAAGTAGTCTGCAAAGGTTTGAGCCTCGCGGGCGTATTACGGATATAGAGGACTGAATTTAAAATTTGATAAAAAAATATATGCAATTTTGAAGCTTATTTGGAAGATACTTTGATGTAGTTTAGTAAGTTTTCTGGCAAATGTTGGGCATTCCTGACATTGCTGAAAATTATGATAGCATCAGATTGCGGGGTTGCTAGTGTAATAGGATGCTTTGTTGATTGTTCATTAACTCTTGATTGCTTGTAATACTTATGAATATTTTAGGTGGACAAAAAGGCGAACTAAGAGGTGGATACCTGAGCTTTTCCACATTTATATCGCTGTGAAGCAACTGTAAGGGAATTTATATCTGTAACTGTAACCAGTTCTATTTTGATTGCAAACCTGGTTAAATTGTCATATTTAACTATCTTAAAGTATCCTTTGTAGGGCTAAAAGGTGGGATCATCATCGTCATTTCTTTCTGCTACCATTCTACCTGCGTTACAGCACTAAAAACGCAAGGAAAATCAAGCAATGTTCAACATTGTGTTCAGATCTATGACCACGATCTCTAAGGTTTAAAGCGTTCCGAATTGAGTCTTGCTTGTGTATTTGTATCAATTTAGTATCTATTTTTCCTCGTTAAACAAATAAACAAACAAACAAGTATCTATTTTCGTGAAGGGAGTTCAAAACGAACTTGTGCCCCACAGCTGGAACAAATGGTCACTAACCATCAGATGGCACTTTTTAGGAAATGGTATAATTGGTTTGGTACTTGATCCAAGCTTTTGCACCACAATAGGCAGTTCAACTTTCATGATTATCAGATGTCCGATGCTTTTTTTTCCCTTGATTTGTTTTCCGTCGATCTTGATTTTCGTACTGAGTATCAATGCTACCGAAACCAGGAAGTTAGCTCCCACACCTAGACCCTACCAATCGACCCATCAACTCATGGACCGGGGAAACGGCATTAACATCCCTTCCGAAGGAAGGCGTGATCAAAGATTTTATGAGCATGAGCATGATTGACCGCCCGAGGATGCAACTCCGTTATAGGCAGATACCTGTAATTACACAGAGCACCAATAGACGTTGCTTGGGACTAGCAATCAATGTGTAAATACTAATGATCTGAAACTAGGCAAAACCAGCGCCGGCCATTCGTACGTGCTGGTCAAGAATGCTTACCACTACACCACCTGCGCCGCTAGGATTCATTTTGGTAAACGATATGAATTGATGTCCAAACAATTCGATGGAGCGATGGTGCGTGGGTTAGAACCCACGGTCTTTTGCTCAGT